CATTATTTAGGTATTCCTAACTACTCTAATCTCTATATATAAGTAGTGTTAATTCATCATTCTCCAAGCATCAATTGTCGTTTACTAATTTTTATNTTTCNTTGCATCAATTCTAGAGTCGAAGTTTNTTTCCTTAAATANTTTTANTATTTNTATCTTTGTTCTATACATTACGTTTCATATATTCTTTCCTATTCTGTTTGTGAGTAACACATTTCAGAATTTTGATAAATATATTGACAAATGTTGTTGTATAGAAAACAAAATCCATGACTATATTGTCGCCGGAAGAAGACACCGGGTTTAAGTCCTACATCGAAAAATATGACACCAACAACAATTGGATTCCCTCTCTCGCAGAATTGGTATATATCTATAATTTTTTTTCTTTCTTTCATGTACAATATATAGTCCGTGACATGTAATACTAACAAATTTATTTTTGGATTGACGTGGGAAGACTTGTCGTTTGAGATGGCTTAATTATTTGAGACCTAACTTAAGCATAGAGGCTTCACCGGTGAAGAAGATTACATCATTTACANCCTTTACATTTCTTATTCCTATGCCATATAGATATGATTCAATAAATTTTATTTACATCGTTNCTTCTAAATTTNTGTGTATNTTGTCTTTTTAAAATTGTTCTATCATTGTTTCACAATTACCAGAAAACAGAAAGATTTCGAAAACAATTGGAACACGAAGTTCAGAAAGAAGCTACTGAGCAAGCAAATGAAACTATTTNATCAATAATTCAATGTCAAACTGGAGCGTGGAACAACATCAGATAGATCATCATCGTCGAGTCAAAACCAGAGTTCGTTATTAGTATGAACTCGAAGATATTAAACAAACGACTCGACAAGAATTTTTTTTACTTCTTGAAAACGGTAAATTGAAATATGTTTTGTTTTGATTGTTCCTAAGTAAACGAATAATTTTAATTTATAATTCATAATATCCGTTAACATTTACAGTTATTTTACAATAATTATTGTATATAGCCATATAAGATATACAAATCTTATAAATTTTGAATTTAATATAATTTNTGAACATCTATTTATCATTTTATTTTTTGTGAGATATTAACTTTTTGACTAAAGGTATTATTGATTAAGAACTTTAAAAAAAGTTTGACTCTG